GCAGCAGCAGCCGTACCTGCTGCTGCTGACACTCAGGCAGGGAGCAGCAGCAAATCAAAATGCACCGCTGCAGCAGCTGCTGCTGCACCGGGCTGCTGCTGCTGCAGCTCCAGTCAGAAGCCTCCTTGCAGCAGCCGTTGCTGCTGCTGCTGCTGCTGCTGCTATGGCTGCTGTTGCTGCTGTTGCTGCTGCAACATTGATGCAAAGCAGCAGCAACTGCAGCAGGAAGAAACAGCAGCAGCTCATCATGCAGCAGCGCCTCTTCTATTATCTGCTGCGCGAATGCAGCAGCCTGCTGCTGCGGCAGCAGCAGCAGCAGCCGCTGCAGCAGCAACCGCATTGACGAAACGATGTATGCGAGCGCATGTCCTTGCTGCTGCTGCTCTTCCTGCTGCTGCTGCTGCTCCTCTTGCTGCTGCTGCTGCTGCTGCTGCTGCTGCTGAACGTATGCAGCTGCCAGGTTTCTGAGGAGAGCAATAAGCTTGCTGCTGTCTAGCAGCAGCAGCAGAGAGGCAGCAGGACTCCCCTTCATTTGCTGCTGCTCCAGCTCTTGCTGCTGTTGCTGCTGCTGCTGTTGCTGCTGCTGCTGTTGCTGCTGCACGATTGCGGTGTATATACACAAAGCACTCGCCAGGCCGTCTGCAGCTGAGGCCAGAAGACGCAACTTTGCTGCTGCTGAAGGCACCAGCAGCAGTTGCTGCTGCTGCTGCTGCTGCTGCTGTTGCTGCTGCTGCTGTTGCTGCTGCTGCTGCTGCTGTTCCAAGGGCTCTGCAGAGCAGCAGAGAATATCACAAAGCTGCTGCAGCAAACGGCTGGGGATAGAAGGAACAACCAATCCGTCCTGCTGCTGCTGCTGCTGCTCTGGCTCCTGCTGTTCCTCGAGCTGCTGCTGCTGCTGCTGCTGCTGCTGCTGCTGCTGTTGCTGCTGCTGTAGCTGATACAAAGAGGTATCCCAGCGGCCTACGAGGACGCAGCAGCAGCCGATGGAGATTTCAGCTGCTGCTGCTGCTGGCAGCAACCCTACGATGGGCGGCTTCGGCTGCTGCTGTTGCTGCTGCTGCTGCTGCTGCTGCTGCTGCAGCGTGCTGCTGCTGCTGTCTTCAAGGCTGTCAAGTGCTGCTCTGCATGCGGCCTCAACTCCCTCTGCTACAGCGCGCAGCAGCAGCCTGGCTTGCCATTGCTGCTG